TTTAAAAGATTTAGGCTTATCATTGAATTAACAATGCAACTGTCTATAAAAGCCAAAATCAATATTGAGAGATGACAATATAACTTCTAAAGTTTTAGCATAATCCTGTATAAAGATTTGAGAACTTAGGATATTATTAATGCCTAAAGTTGCACTTTTTTGGCTGACCTGATACATTTACCTTTATTTAATTGAAATCACAGTGAGAACACATTTACCAAAATATTTTCTTAATCATTTCTAGAAGACCACATGGGTTATTTTAAGGTTAATTCGATATAGATTAACATTGAAATATTAATCTATCATTTTTAACATCATCTACATGAAAATTTTGCTTGATGCTAGGAATTAGTATTATTGTAAACCTTGGATATAATAAAATAAGTAGGGTAGCAACTTAAGTACTAGAAAAAGGATAAAAGATACGCTGGATCATGGTGTCATAAATTGCAGTCTCTATTCCCATATATCTATCTCTGTAGGTCATCATCAGGACAGATCATCATCAAGGCAGAACATCAAAGTGGGAAGGGTGTTGGAAGCAAGTGCTCACCTCATACCAGCGAGGACCCAGGGAAAGCAATAAAAGGACCAAACTTTGAATATCCCCTTCAAGGACACACCCATATTGACCTATTTCTTTCATTTAAGTTTCAAGTAATGAGTTTGGCACCATAGAATTCAGCACATGACTTTAGATTTCAGATAAAAGCCATAATATTTTGCTCTAATTTTCATTACTATTAACATCCAAATAGTAACCAGATTGTGGCAGTGCACACCTTTAATGCCTGTACTCGGGAGGCAGAGACAGGCAGATCTCTGTGAGTTCGTAGCCAGTCTGGTCTACAAGAGTTAGTTCCAGGACAGGCTCTAAAGCAACACAGAGAAACCTTGTCTCAAAAAACCAAACAACCAACCAAACAACAGCAACCCAAAAATATAAAAATTAAATCCATCTTTAGCAGTATGATAATAGATAGACATTTTCAAAAGAAGACTTTTTAGAATTAACATATTATAATAAAAATGGAAATGAAACATCACACAAAAGTTGAAATAATAATCCTTAAACTTGCTTTACTTCTCAGTCAGTCTTTATTTATACTAGCAGTTCTCAACCTGTGGCCTGCAATCTCTTTAGGAGTCAATTGACCATTTTACAGGTGTTGTCCAAAAGCATCAAGTAACACAGACATTTACATTATGATTCATAATAATAGCAAAATTACAGGTATGAAGCAGCAAAGAAAACAATCCATGAATGGGGTTACCACAACATGAGGAACATACAGTTGTATTAATACAGTTGTATTAAAGGGTCACAGCAATAAGAAGGTTGAGAACCATTGATTTAGACCATTCTGTAGAATTCTCATATTTCTGCAAACGTTTCTTAGATTATAAGATTCAATGAACCAATGTTGAGGAAATGCTGGAGTCAACACAGCAAAACAAATTGTATTACTTTTGATCAAGTGGCAATGGGCCAGAAGACTCTCATTTGAACACTGAATTTGGTTTTATTTGATATCATCTGGGATTTCATATATTGCACAGAGATATTTTGAAAGACACAGCTACACATAAAACAATTTTCATTTAAGAGAATAAACCATAATAAAACAAAAAGCTATCACATGCCCAGACTCTGTGGAATAAGAGGAAGCAATGTCTGTGGAACCGGATGCTTTCTGGGGAAGAGGAAAAAAATTAACGGCTGTCCTGGGTCTCTGGCAATTTGCTTGAACATTGGGATTTTATTCGTTCAAAGTGTAAAGAGAAAATCCAAATTGAGGCAAAAGATGTTTATGGGTAGAGAACCTATTTGAAAATAATATTACTAGTAGAACGTGTAGCAAAAACTGAAGTTCGCTTTAATGTAAGCTTTTTACATCGTGGATCTGATAAATGCTGCTACAGATGAGAATAACTGAGCTCTCATTATAAAGTCAGTCTGGAGGGCAAGGATAAGAGTTGTCTTCTATTCAATATGAGTTATTTGTTTTCCCAAAGAAAAAATCATCATAAGGAAATCCCTAAGAGTTTTCAATACAAATATCTCTAAATGCATTTTTGCTGCCACGTTATGTTTTCAGGGTGTCATATAAGCTTTGTATAATTTATAAATGATAAAAAAACAATCCGGCCACATTCAGAAAAGCCCAGTGACACATAATTTATTTGAATCTGAGGATTAGAATTAATTGTTTCTCTTGGTTCCAAGTTCTAAATCTTAGTAAATGATTCAGGACATGTCATTACAGCTTAATATTTGCATGAAATCACAGTTTAGCTGGCATAATTTAACAGCAATTAAAAAGCTATTTAATCACCAAGCAAATTGGTGTGAGGGCCCTTGAGTAAGAAGGGTGCCTCTATTTTTTTAAGTTTTTAACATATGTCCAAGCAGACAGTTATATACTTGTGGACACCCATAACATAATTGGTAGTGTTTTCTAGTTGTGGAGGTATGTGTGAATAATAATTCACATCATTAATTATAAATAAGAGAAAAAATCATCAATATGAATGTGTCATAGTAAGGTATTATTAGAAAAATGAATTTTTATCCCCCAAGCATAAATTTAGGAGGAAGATAAAACACACATTTGATCCTGAGTTTCTCCATATTTTCCTGTCTAAAGGCAGGAAGCCCAATGATACATGAAATGACATAAAATAAAAACTCAACAACCTTTAATAAAAATTCCCATCACATTTCTAGGACTAATGTTAGGTAATAGAAATATGGGTTTCTGGAAGATCCTGCCTATATGTGACTGACATCAGAACAGCACAAGAGGAAAGAACAGCCAGACAACACTTCTTAGTATCGCACATAGATTTATGATATGTATTCTGCTCGTTAACAGTACGTAGGAGATCGTATTGCCATGCCCGCCTTCTCAACCCATGCACCATGCTTTCCGTTGATATGCTTTTAAAACATATCTCTTCCATGCTTTAAAACCTTCAAGTCTGGCTGGGAAGGTGGCTCACTATATAGAAAGGTCCTTTTTGTGAGGGCCTGAGTTCAAATCAATAGAACCCACATAGAAGTGGAGATGCATAGAGGAAGCTTTTATAATCCTAGCTCCCCTAAAGACAAAGGAAGCAGACAGGGAAAATACTGAAAAACTTGTGAGTTATACCCAGTTGAAAAACCATCGAAAAAATCAAGTCTCAAAGAGATAGAAGGTAAAAACTGACACTCAAGGTTGTCTTCTGACCTCCATGTGAATTCTGTGATATATCCTTCATACAAACACACATGCACTTGCACTATGCCTGCATCCACACACATGCATGCATGCACACACATGCATCCACACGCATGTATACACACACACACCTACACAATTCTTTCTGTTGAACACTCGAAAATTTCTAGCTGTTCTAGGTAGTGTAACTATCCTGAGTTATTTATGGCGCCCCTTGCTAGTCCTTACAACTCACTTCATGGATCCTTCATGGTTCTATTTTTCAATCCAGCTATATCCCCGTCTGTTCCATGACTTTCAACATTTTTTACTACAACAGCATACTTTTGACCCATACTACGTCCAGGTTTCTTATCACAGTGCTTTCTTTTGTTGCTACAAAGTATTTAAGTTCCTTCTGATAGTTTTTTTTTTACCTCAATTCCTGCCTGTTAACATTCTAAAATTCTAATTACTATCATTTGAATCCATTAATCTAAGAGTTTTTCTTGCTTTTTTACTAAACATTAGCTGCAGTGAAGCAGAAATTATGTCTATCACATCTATCATAATATCTGTCATATAGTAGTCACTAAATAAAGTATTAATTTAATGAACAAATGACTATAACTTTATATTAAAGATGTGTAAATCACGATTTCAATTTCTGTCCTAAGAGGATATTGCAGAATTCCCACCTACTGAGCAGTTTTTATTGACAAAAGAAATTTGAAGAACTATTCTGGATTTCTTAAAACAGATCTTCTAAGTTGTGACACAGTGTTGGTTTTTCCAGCACTTGTATAAAATATTATTTTTCAACTTTGTCTCATAAACAATATTCTCACAGTACATAGATTCCATGGCATTAAAACAGCCCTTAACACAGAGTTTGGCACTGATGAGACCCTCAGATAATAATTGCTCAATGAATGGAGAGAAACTGCGAAGGGAAGGACTCACCTGAGTATAAAGTTGATTGGCGTACAAGATGACTGGTAATAAAAAGCCGTTGAGTACTATGTGAGTTGTGATATCCATAGAAAACTGGAAAGAATGTGTCCTTGATGACAATTAAGGGAGGCTTGGCTGAGCCTTCTTTAGGGACATTTTCATAGTTAAGATCTAGGTTACTCGTGTTTAGTGAACATTATCTAAATAAAAATATAGTGGTTTGACCTTATGCATGTGTATGGCTTCAAGTTGACAAGGCACTACGAAAAAGTTTTTTGCGGTCTCTGATTTCCATTTGCTTTCATTTCTAAATAATTTGACCACCCAAAATTTAAGATGCTTTTTCTCAATTTTGGAAAATAGATTGTATGAATTTGACAAAGAAAATGATGGGTGTTTTGTCTATGCAATATTGACAGTATTAGGATGGAAAGACTGAACACAGTATGCTTAGTATGCATACCCCAGTTGGTTTCAAATTGTAAAAATGATAATATAATTAACAAGGCTATAAGCCTGGCCATCTCATAATTTATAATTTCTATCCATTACATATTTTACAGCAAATAAACCTTAAAAGTATGCTTTGGAGATGAATGGACTTTGACATTAAATGTTGGAATTTGAACACTCAAAAATTAAAAATATGCTGTATTCTCTCTTACAGACTTTCTCTTTTAACATCATCAGATATTTGAACAATTTTTTATAGTTCCTGTAAGAAATACCCTCCAACTAATGTTAAAGATCAGCAGCATGTATTCATGAAGATTTCAATGTAGCACTAACATTCCTTGTTCTATACATGTACATTTTGTTTTCTCATTGCTTTTTTTCCAGGGCCACCCTCAGCTCCTAGAAATGTGGCTTTTAACATCAATGAAACAGCCCTTATTTTGGAGTGGAGCCCACCTAGTGACACAGGAGGGAGGAAGGATCTCACATACAGTGTAATCTGTAAGAAGTGTGGCTTAGACAACAGCCAGTGTGAAGACTGTGGTGGAGGACTCCGCTTCATCCCTCGACACACGGGACTCATCAACAATTCTGTGATAGTACTTGACTTTGTGTCTCATGTCAACTACACCTTCGAAATAGAAGCCATGAATGGAGTTTCTGAGCTGAGCATTTCTCCCAAGCCGTTCACCGCTATTACAGTGACCACAGATCAAGATGGTAAGTCCCTTTGCTGGTCTCTCAAACTGTTTTTATTATGCTTAATGTCTCTGTCGGGCTTGTATTCAGTTTAGTTGCGATGTTCATGTAATACACTACATTCCTTTTCAAGGCGAAGAAAGAGATTTGTTATATCTTAAGCAGTACGGCCAGATAAGATGAAATGCTCCTTGGTAATGGCTATTTGTCTTTTTAATATAGTCAAATACCAATATTTCTTAATAAGTGTGTACTTAATTTTGACAGTGAAAGCTGGCTATAAATAAAATGTTGCTAAATGCACTAGGTTTTGATTGGTCCACTTTGCCACCATACTTTTTAAATGTCAAATAATACAAATAATACGATTATTTTAATTATAATTAATGCTTATTTTAAAAACTGTTCAGCTAACATTTTTTTTATATTTATCCAGCTTTACTAAAGATAATTTCCATAAACAATCATGGTATTTCATGAAGGACATGGGTTGACAATCACTAATGGTATACAACAACTTCCAAACTCCCTTCTTGTGTAGACTACCAAAATCAGAAAACCACTGTAAAATCAGATTAATGCTTGATTAAATGTTTTGAAAAGGAGGAAGAGGTCAGAGTTAGGGGTAACATTTCACATTGAGGTTGTTGTTTAACTTTACATAAGCCAATACTGACTTTCAAAAAATTAGATAGAAATGGCATAATTATCAATCTGAAAATCACAGTCTTTTATAAAAGGAATTGTCACCATTTTGAGAACACTCAATGTTGTTTCTACAAAGTCTAGATTGTCCAATAGACTCAGAAGACTAGCAAAACCAATTTTGGGGGTCAGGTTCCAAGAGGTCCCCGGTTTTAATGGAGTTAAGTCTATGCTGATGGTACAGGAGGAGGAAGAAATGAATTTAGAGTTTTTCCACATCACAAGGCATTTTGTGTCACGGGGGCTACATATTCCAACACCAGGTTGTCTACTAAGAACCAACAGTATCCTTCAAAATTATCAGAGAAAGACATTTTCTGTCATCAATCCAGCTTGGGAGACATTTTGTTAGTGACATACTACCCAGCACCCCAAAAAAGCAATGCAATGTTCTGTGTGCTAACAACATAGCCTTGAGAAAAGTAAAACAACATTCTGCATTTTCATAAAAGTTGATATAAAATAGTATTTCTAGCTGAACAGTCACCAGAAGTTCACAGATATAAAAATACAATATTTCACTTGGCATCTCCAGCGTCTTCAGCTTTCAGTGTCTTGTCTGTTCCCATTTCTCGTCTGTTCTTGTATGTTTTCTGTTTTCTACAGGATTATGCACATCCTTACGAGTATCAGCTTTCCTCTTTTTTCCCTTGTTTACCACTCTCCCTGCTTCACAGGCACCATTTTAGGCTTTGGAGGAGCAGGTTTAGCATACAGCCTTGCAGATATCTTCTCTGTGGCTCATCCTTCATCATGCCTTTATCTCCATTAACATCCAGTCCAACCTTTCTTTGGAAGACACCAGTGGTAGAGGATGCTGGTTTGATCCATTCAGTGGTCATTCTCAATGCTTCCTCATACTGTTCCCTGCTTACATGTTTAACCATGAAACTATACCCCCTTGAAGAAACAGTCACACAAACAGAGATAAGTACGCACACACATGCAGGCATGTATGCACACAAGTATGCACATATTGAAATGATATTATCCTTATGAGGTTATGAAAAGTACTTAAACTGACTTAAAATATGATAAATTTAATTAAGTGTACCCATTATTTCACTACAGAATTTCATTCTGATGCAACCAGACAAAAACACTTGTGCCTTTTTGAGTCTTTAATTTCTTTCCAACATAATTATATTAAATAAAGTGATAAAGAAAAGATACAAAGATTTAAGACATCTTCTAAGAAGCAATTAGAAAATTTATGGATATATAGCAGACTATAACAGAAAACATCAATAAGCACATATAATACAAATTTATAAAACTAGAACTAAATTTATACACTTTGTTAGTTTCTATATCTGCTGTAACAAACACATTGAACTCTATGACTTACAGAAGAGATTTCTTTTTCATGGTGCTATAGGTAAGAAGTTATCAAAAGGACTGATTCCACCTTGAGATGGTTTGCTAGGTCTTCACATGGACAACTTCTCCCATGTCTCTACATTGTCTTTCCTCTTTATCCAGTCTCCTAAAATCTCTTCATCTATGGGCATCAGTCATTTAATTATCATCTTTCATGTGATCTCACATTTCCTTAATAACTATTCAAAGACTTATTGGCAAATATAACATATTGCTGGAGAATGCAAAAATAGTTTGATGGTTAATAGCACCTGCTGCTTTTCCAGAGGACACCAGTTCAGTTCCCATCACCGATGTTAGCCTGCTGACAACTCTCTGTACCTCTAGTTCTGGGGGTCCAGTGCTTTCTTCTGTCCTCCAAGGGTACTTTTACACACGGCATGCACTTATGAAAACATGCACGTCATAGAAAAAGACAAGATCTCCTGAGTAAATTGGGAGCATAGGGACCTTGGAGAGGGTTGAAGGGGAGGGGAGAGGTAGGGAAAAAATGAAGAGCTCAATAAAAATAAAAATGAAAAAAAAACTTAGAAAAGAAGACTAAATCTGATTGTATTGGAATGCTAGTCAATATTAAATAGATTCAAACTATCAATACATACATCTTGGATGGCCCTCAATGACATGATGCTGATTTTATAAGGCAAGCTCAAAAGGATGCATACCATATGATTCCATTTGTATAACATTTTGAAATAAGAAAAATACAGAATTGGAGAAAAAATAGAGTAATATATTTTGGAAGAGTGATGTGGCCTGGGTAGGGTAGCAAGAAAGGACCCTATCATCATCCTGAAAACAATCTGTCCTTATACTATATGACAAGATGATATAGATGTGATAAATTACACACACACACACACACACACACACACACACACACACAGTGAATGTATCAAATGTCAACTACAGTTTTTCTTGTTGTACTTTACTTATGCAAGTAGTTAACATGGGAAGGAGTTGAGCAAAGGACAAATTGGACTTTTCTGTCTAGTGAGTGAGTTTGGTAATTTTTAGTGACCCTCATAATTACTTCAAAATGCCAAGAAAAATTCTTATACCTATGAATATGCCATAATAAAATATTAAAAGTTATACTACATGTATATGAGACAGATGAAAAATTAAATAATGTGAAATAAACATAAATCCTCTTGCTGATAGACTTCAGATTTGCATTCAATCAATAAAGTCAAATAAAACATTTTGTTGTGCAAATCTTTATATTTGCATTAGCAGATGATTTCAAAGGTTACTACTGCAACTATCTAACCTAACTATATAACCCAATACATTCTTGATTGTATAGTAGAAATCAAACAATTATGGTATTTAAAATATTATTTTAAATAAATATATTTATAAACATGTTTGCATAATTTTCTTCATACATACACCAGACTTTTATTGCAAAAAGTTCATTGAATCTGCTTCTCCATCACAAAGAAAATAATGTTTTATACTTTTTATATTTTTAATTAATTAATTTTACATTCCTGACACAGTTTCCCCTCCCTTCTTTCTTCCCACTCTCATCCCTCCAACACCACTCTGTTTGCATCCCCCAAACTCCTTCACTCCTTCTCCATTTCTGTTTAGAAAAGGGCAGGTCTCTCATAAGTAACAAAAAAATCATGGTATATCGAGTTGCCTTAAGACTAAGCAACTCTCCATATATTAAGGCTAAGCAAGGAGACCCAATACAAGGAAGAAGGTCTCAAAAGCCTGTAAAAGAGTAGGAGAGAGCTCCTGTTCCCGTGCTAGTAGTCTCACGAGAGGGCCAAGCTATATAACTATAACATATATCCCGAGTGCCGAGGTCAGTCCCACGCAGACTGCCTGGTTTTTGGTTCAGTTTCTGTGAGCCCTACTGAGCCCAGGTTATATGATTCTGTGGGTTTTCTTGTGGTGTCCTTGACCCCTCTGATTCCTACAATCTTTTTTCCTCTCTTCTGTAAAATTACTAAAACTCCCCCTAATGTTTGTCTGTGGGTCTATGTCTGTTTCCATCCATTACTGGATGAAGCCTCTCTGATGACAATTGGGCTAGGCACCCATTTCAGACTACAAATGTGCTATTGCCAGGAGTATAAACTGGGGTCTTCCAGATTCAATGCAATTCCCATCAAGATCCCAACACATCTTTACAGACCATCAAACTTTATATAGAAAAAAAAAAAACCTAGGGTAGCTAAAACAACCCTATATAATCAAAAAAACTTCCAGAGGCATCACCAGCCATAATTTTAAAGCTCTATTATAGAAATATAGTAATAGAAAAGCATGGTGTTGACATAAAAACAAAAATATGGATCAATGAAATCAAACTGAAGACCCAAATTTAAATTCACATACTGATAGACACCTTTTATATTTTCAAAGAATCCCAAAGTATACGTTGTAATAGAGAAAAGCTTCTTCAACAAATGGTGATGGTCTAACTGGATGTTGATATGTAGAAGAATCTAGCTCTATATATAACTATCTCCTTGCACAAAACCCAATTCCAATTGGATAAAAGACCTCAACATAAATCCGGACACACAGAACCTGATAGAAGAGAAAGTGGGAAATAATCTCAAATACATTGTCACTGGAGACAACTTCCTGAACAGAAAACCAATATCATAGGCACTGAAATAAACAGTTAATAAATGGGACCTTATGAAATTGAAAAATTTCTGTAAGGCCAAGTACACTATCAGTAGGACAAAATGAGAGCCTACAGATTGGGAAAAGTTCTTCAGCAACCCCACTTCTATAAATGGTCTAATTTCCAAAATAAATATAGAATTTAAAGAACTAGAACAACAAAATACCAAATAATCTAATTCAAAATGAGGTACAGATCTAAACAGAATTTTCAGTAGAAGAATCTCAAATAGCTGAAAAACAATTAAAGAGATGTTCAACATCCTTAGCCATCAGGTAAATGC